TGTCTTTCATACATCTTTATCTAACTTAGGAAATTACAATCTTATTATTACGCTCTGGTTAATGGAAAAATGTATACAGTTTCCCATAAAAGAATCTTTTACCTAGTTAAACGAAATCGTGGTACCGTGACATTGGACTTAGTTCTAAGGTTAATATTATAGATATCTTCTTTCTTAACGAAATTATGTATATTTTTACGGGCATACAAAATATTTGAGTAAATGTACTGTGATGCCAGAGTCAAGACACCAGCCTCCTTAATTTCTCCGAGAGAAGCCCGAATTCTGTGAATGTGAATGAAAAACGGAATGTTACAGGTAAAGCAAATTATAAAATTAGATGACCAAATCAAAAACATCAACTCTCGTTTCCGCTGAAATCACAAATTAAAAAACTTAAATATTACAGCGGCAAGAACAGACCTGTGTGTACGTCTCCGTATATTCCAAAAATATTCCGTATTTATTGTAATAAAGATAATATCTCTAACAATGGGGTGCTGCTATATTTGGTTATATGGGAAAACCAGCAAATAATCTAATTACAAAACAAACGGAATCACATTTCATCATGTATTTTTTCAAATTTTCGTTTTATTTCTTTGAATGAGATTCATCATTAATCAGATTTTGAAAAAACGAAAATCACTTTTCTTAACCTTACAAAATTAAGTAACAATTATTTGTTGCGCATTTTGGTAACACTATGCTAAGGTTGCAAATAATCAATGAATAAATTAAGTTTACACGTAAATTTACTCTGTTGGGTTTTGTTTAGCAATAGCTGATATCGTTTTTCCTAAGCGGGAAGAAGGGTCGCGTACTCAACACGCACCGCATGGTAATTTTACAAATTCAGAACCAAGTGCTCCGATCCTACCGAATAATTCTATATAAGCGGCTTGCTAATAATGCGGGGATGCGGGAATAATGTTGAAAAAAATATCGATATCGTTCATCATACCGCTTTTATCAGTACCCATCAAACTAACGATGTGTCAGCAATCGATAGATTAAACAAGATGATAAAATGTTAGAATCCATTTCCCCCACGTAGCGCCAATCTTGATTAAGTTGAAATTTCCCACAAATTGGCAACACTACACACAAAGTTAAATCTAATTAATTATTAAAAATCATGGAACAAAAGTTTTTATTCATGATGTTACTTACACAGTCCTGCAAGGTTGTTAGTATTTTACAAATAGTCTTTACAGCAGCTTGAATTTGATTGAAAATTGAAAATGAAAATAGTTCTCGTTTCTTTTTCATGAAAACGTAAATTAGAGTTTACGATTGGCTCTTCCTAGTAGGTATTATCTACCTGTATGAAGACCCGCTGTTTAATTGCCTCTCCCGATCTGAAACTGCGTCTCTTCCGAGTCAACGCGCATAATTGCGATTCACAATTGGTCGATCGGAAACTTTGACATTTCAAATCGGAACAATAGTTGATTTAACTAACAAATTAGAAAGACATAGTAGGGAATCAGGTTCATCTTCTCGCTCGGAAACCCATCTGATTTCGAGTCTACCCGATCACTTATATTCCTATTTGAATCAAAATCAGCAAGCATGTACCTTCGATACTATTGATTTTAGAACCGAGAAAATGGTATAACAAAAGTTGTGATTGAAAAGAAAACTGGTACTGGGAGTCTAGTCTCGTTTTCCGTCTGACATGCGTCCGAAACAATTACTGTCAAATACATAAGTAATACTCGACCAGATTAAGAAACAACATCAAGTATGAAGCTTTATTTGTATCATGCGTCTTCTGATTTAGTCGAATATTACTTATTAGATGGTAATGCTCAGGTTACACAGAGTAGATCCAGTGTGACAGGGGTCATGTAAACACGTCTTTTACAAAAATTCCCGCGCCCAAAACGCGTCCGCGGCCGCCTCTGTGTGGCCAGAGCATAATTGTTTCGGATGGATAGAGGACGAGAGTACATGATCTGTTACTTTTACTGTTTTCATATATGTGAAAATGTACAAACATTCTTCGCTGTTAATCAAATTGTGAATAAATAAAAAATTGGAACAAAAAAATTCAATAAAGGTCAAAGTTGATCAATGTCAGGGATACTTCCTTAACACCTTTATAACATCTTTATACGGCTTAGTCGATCAGAAGTATGGAGAAGGTCCATTGATATTTGCTCTATTTTAAACATTTGAAATGAATCTTCGTCAATTCTCTTTAACATCATTTGTTTTCTTATGCTTACTAAGCCAAAAGCACATATGAAACCATGAACAGATATCGGAGGTAACACAAATGCTGACGTAGCACGGTTGTGAATCGAGCATTCCATATGGCAGCCACCATATACCCGTCAAAAGCAACTCGTATGAGTACGAACGGACGTACAGTCCGGAGATTGAATGGTCTGAGTTATAGGTTGTAGCGGAATGCAAAAAGTGTATCTACAATGATAGTTTTCAAAAATTAATGCTGTGAACTCACTTGAGTTTTGAGAAATCCTGCAAATATAATAATTGTCTTCAACTTATATAGTTACGAAGCACAAATGGGAGAAAATTACATTACTAATGGATTAACCACACACATTGCAGAAGCGACAATACCTTGAAACTGACTGCATTATAAGAAAGTATTGCTGATTCGATATTCATAGCCTACTAATGAAGGACCACAAATGTACCGCACCAAGTAAAAGCCGCAATCTATTACGACTAATACGGCATCCACTCTTTTGAATATTTGTTTTCTCGAAATCCGTACAAAATCAAAATAAATTATGCGATATGCGTTACAAATTGACTTAACCGTAGAAGGAAACGTCCCTATTTATTCATCTACTCACAGCAGTGGTGTTTTTGCAATTTCTAATGCCACAATAACGCATTTCTCGCGTTTTCCTGACCGGCGCGTTCTGAAGCGTAGCAGTGGCATCTAAGCGTTTTATATTACATTGGGCACGCGAAGTAGGTATATATTTTGAACAAATATTTTGAAACAATCAAGTTTCATCATATTAATGTTCAAATATCTAAATTATATTATAGTTTTTAGTTTCACATACTATTTAAATTGGTGTTAAATTAAATAATACTGTATCTGATTTTCTAGTCGTAGAAGGGCGGAGCCCACTGACACAGGTATATTTTACTTACTAGAGAACTCCAACCTCATTATTGTACTATGATTTTTGAAATGACAATAAAGTTATGCCTCGGCTTCGTGAGCTAAGCTAAGTTAGCTTAGCCTGGTTTTTAAACATGCGTTTTATTATTATTGTAAAACTGGTTCTGGTTTGCGTACACTGGGGTACTCATAGTTACTATGTAGATGGTAGTACTATAAAAAAAGTTTCTTTTACCGACCATAACTTCTAACTTAGGCCACCGATATACGCTCGACACAGCGTAAGATTAGTCGCACGTGGGTCGCCCTCTCGTTCTACAGCTATGATTAATAGGCTGCCAGCCTGTTTTGACACACCATGATGTATCATTCCCGAACGCTTTCTTGTCGATATTCGAAGCAATCAATTAACTTTCACGATACCATGCCTACCAAGTTGCCTAAATGCCACTAACTTGCCTCTAACGGTAATGTCAATGTCACTTTCCACAAGGAAAATTATTTTATACATGTTATGTAACTAGAACTTAGTCATTGAAAAGTTTCTCTATCGTAGTAGTATTAGAGGTTCTTGTATAAATTACTGCCTCCATACCTATATGGAAGCGGAAGGCATAAAAAAACTAAATTGGCTTCGCATAAAATTTCAATATAATTATTTACAACAACTAATACCACTGACAGAAACACATCAAACAAAATACAAAAACTTTAAAAAAGAAAACACGTTAATGTTAAACTGAGTAATGCGTAGACCACACCGCGAACGAAGCTAATTTTACTTAGCTCACGAAGCCGGGGCATCTCTTCATACTTCGGTTCACACCGCGAAGTAAGCTAACCAAGCAAACTAAAACTATCCATAGTCACTACTTACTGCGTATTTTTGTATACAACTAGCTGGGATAGTTAGTTGCATGCAACTACATGAACTAAGCTACTTAGCTTAAGGAGGCCGTCGCCATACCAGCCCATCCGGTGACGTTAATAAGGTCGATAAAATTGAAGAAAGCGGACGCACTTACCAGAGCGCGTAATTGTTATAGGACGCGATACAGACGACGAAGGGCACGATGCAGGCTAAAGAAGAGGCGAAGGATCTGGTTGATTCGCAGGACTGTCGACATCGTTAAGAAATTACGGCAGGCTAGATCGTATCGATCGATACGGTGGTAGCTTTTCTTTCGAGATCTATTTTGTAAGGGCTTTCTAACAAAATCTTGTCTAAGGATGACAGCGACCTCGACAAGAAGGTGCTATATTTTCTTGTGCTCTTACGTAGAATACGATGGAATTTAATTTTGGCTCTCTTAATTGCCACTTTTCGGAATCCACATTCTTGAGTGTGTCGACAATTTTCGTTGCGGACTTGGTCCTTTTCAAGCGGGACTTATAACGGGGAATTTCGTCAAAGTAACTCGACGCTACAACAAATTCGGATAGACATGTAAATATCGATTTATGTTCAGGTGGTTTATCAAATTGCTATGTTACACCTTACCTGTTAACGATTTTTTAAAAGATGGAGTCGTAGAAGTAGTCGTAATAATAGTAAATCCGGTGTAAATCGTAAAAAAACCGTTTCTTTTTTCATGATATCAAGCGACGAAACTAAGAAGTCGTGATCCAGGTGGTAAGCGACACACCTGTATTATACGAGAGGTGTATTGGCCACTCAAGAGCTATAAATTGCATAGATTTAACGGGCAGTGCCACTGCACCCGCCACCCTGAGACATAAATTAACAAGTCCAATTTGCCTGTAATTTCACCAGCACACAAACCTAATCTCATATTATAATTATGAAACCAACATCATACTAACTCTGAACTTGACAAGTGTATGAAGTTCATACAATCTAATTTAAAATTTTCTTTTCAGCGCCGACGGCGAATACGTTGTAACAACTATGACAAAAGCGGTACTCCATCATACCGGCAAAGTGCTATGGACTCCACCAGCCATTTTCAAGTCCTCCTGCGAAATCGACGTCCGATATTTCCCGTTTGACCAGCAAACTTGTTTTTTGAAGTTTGGGTCCTGGAGTTATGACGGTGATCAGGTGAGGTTTATCTAATTTACTTTAACGTTTGCAAACACGTGTTTTCCAAACTCCTTTCATCGTTTTACCATGTTAGATTTAAAGATGAAATTTGAAAATAATATAAATTTTTACAAAAAAAAACGACCTCAAATATCCGTGGAATTACATCTGTTTGCCAAGTTTTGCTGAAATCGGTTGCCAAAAAGTGCACAAAACGGGGTTCATAGTTTAGCCACTCTTAGAGGGGCACTATTTTCTTAAAATTTAAATGTGACCAATGCTGAAGTAACCTCTTTCCTACAAAAAAAGAATCATGAAAATCGGTTTACAAATTAAGTAATCGCGTAATATACACAAACAAATAGTTAAAAAGAACAAGCGCTTGTCGCCTTTTCCGTCAAAATAAGGAAAGATATTAAATTAGACTGTATGGTCAAAGCTTTGCCTACCCAAAGAAATGGGCGAAAATTTATATTTACAAACTTCTTGTACTGTACAAAACCCCTGAAAACATCCAAACACCAAACAGATCTTCTGAAAAATCAAGAAAGTTGTCCAATTTTAAATCATTTCGTAAAACGCACTATGGGAGACATTTTGTAATGGAACCCAAGAAAAAGATTATTCTTAGTCTGGCTGTATGGCGCATTAGTGCCTTTGCCTTTTCCAATGGAAAAAACCGTACCAAAAAAGAAAAAATGACATTGAAAATAGGAATATATGTCAGAAGTTGATAAGTTGTTAGTTGTTATTTTGAAATAGCATATAGCAGAACAATAATAATCAGAAACTAAACCAGGTTACACTTTTTATTTTTATTTTGTGACATCTGTGAGAGATTTTATGAACTTTCCAGTTACTACAAGCTGACACTTTTTGTTGATGTCACTTTTTATGAACATCTGTTATTGAGTGGTTTTTTGCGAAATACTTCCACTAGTTTGTTTCAATTATTAAATACAAAGATCTATCACAAAAAATTGACTCGAACCTGTGACCATGATTCCGGGTTACCTATCAGTAGTTTCCAGAAATAACGTTTGGTCGAAATTTCATAACCTCGAAAGTAATTTTGAGAGGAAAATGTTTTTTCTTTCAAAAAATTCGAGTATGTAATAGGTTACCCAATGGAACCTGTAAAGGGCCCGAAACGTTGGTTTGTCTAAAAAAACAATATATGCGATTTAAATCCGGAAAAATAGTTTCATTTCCTATGTGTATCAATCGCGAAAACCTAAGAACTCGAATATTCTATTAGTTTATTGTTATAATATAATTAAATAATAAATATGATATTCTACCTATTCCAATTGCTTACCCCTTGTAAAGGCTACTCTTAAATTGTATGGGCAGCAATTACTCAACAAATGTTATTAATTGTTACTTGGGTGATAAATCAACAAGAAACGAAATATTTATCATCATATAAAAAAAACAAACAAATTTTAAAATGGAATAAATAACGAAACCTATAAATCTCTACCATATTTGTTCACAGATTGACCTCAAACACATAAATCAAAAGAAAGGTGATATGGTGGATGTCGGCATTGACCTTCGGGAGTACTATCCTTCTGTTGAATGGGACATCCTTGGAGTTCCAGCCGAAAGACACGAAAGATACTACCCTTGCTGTCAGGAGCCTTATCCAGGTCAGTTCCTCTGTGTTCATACGTAAATATTGGACGACATACGTTGCCCACTGGGGCCCGTCCATACAAAGTTTTTAACTTTTAAGCACTGTTACAAATAATTTATTAGCCGTTTAACAGATACCGATATATTTCGTTATTTTAGTTAAGATACCGATAACATAAAAAATAATAAAAATGTAAGGAGACTCAACATACCTACCTTGGTTACTGACATAATGTACTTCAATACAAAACACACTTTTAAAAGGACATTGGGAACAATGTTGTCTGAAAATATTTGAAATTAACTGAAATTTGAATTTGAATACAGTGTAGTGTACCACTTACAAAATTGTTTTATTTTTCTTGTTTCGTGTCCTTTTATTTAATAATTGTTTTTTAATGCACGCTTTTTTGTAAGTCAGGATTGCACACTTACACTACATTATATTACTTACATTGCTTTTTTTTTAATAATAACGCACACACTCAACATAGCTCCGCACTAGGGAAGCCCTGTATCGCGGGTACCATGGACACACACATAGACTACCACAAATTACACCCAAACTCGCGAGAGAAATAAATGTAGGCCATACAAATATTTCTCCCGGCCCGGGAATCGAACCTGGGGCCTCTGCGTGGCAGTCCGGCATGGTAACCGTTCGGCCACGGAGGCAGTTATCACTTGTGTCATGGAATTCGGAAACAACGACGGTACCACGAACACCCTTACCCGAGACAATATGTATGTATTAATGCCCACATTATACAATAGAAGTAACTAAAGTAAATTAGTCTAGTCACTAGTCTGTGAATTGAAGATGCAGACTAGACAAATGTATAGATAGAAGTGCCCGGTGGCCTGGCTTTGAATCTGTCTGACTTTATGCAAATTCAATTTCATGGCACCAACCCATATTCAATCATCTATAATTTTGGCCTCATCAGCTTTTGGTATGGACGTTATGATCGTCGTCGTCGTTCACACATTACACAAAAGTAAATTCAACATTGTTATGGTCAGGTGGGGCAAAAGGAACACCGGGGGAATATGAACTTGAAACTTATAACTTATAGTTTCTATGTCGATAAAACTGACAAACGAATTAGTTTAAACGTTTGTAAAGAGATGTCGCTACGATGTTCCAAATCCAATTGGTAGAAGAAACAAATTTGACAGTTGTGAAATCTTGAGAACACGATATCAGGTTATCAGCCTACAAGATATTATTGAAATTCAAATTTAAATTCAAAATTTTTATTTCGGACCATGCCCATAGCGTGTTAGTTACAAAAACTTATAGTCTACGTTAGTATGGAAGATTATTATTAAAACTACATCAAATTATAAACAAAACCCTGGAACTCATGTGTACTGAGTTCCAGTGCTTGCAAATAGCGCAAGCAGAGTACTCCCAAATTAATTTCACAATGCTGTTGGATCCATCACGCACATGGCGCATCGGGGAGGCAGTTCTCTTGCGTATTATCGCTCTATTAAGCATTATCGCATTATTAAGCCACCGTTCCGTACTAAAAATTATTTGATTGTCATTCATCTAACACTGATCTCGCCTTAGCCTGAAACCCGGCAATGAAACCGCTGACAGGTTCGCAAGGGGTGCCATCACAACTGGCTTGCCGGATCATCCAAGCTGCTTCTCATATTCAAATGATCAGGAACTGGGATGAATCTTTCCAAAAATCACTTTTACTAAAGGGTAAATTGAAAACACTTTGGCTGCCTCCAGCCAAAGTGCAAACCTTCAATGCAAAAGTCAATGCAAACCTTAAAATCAAAGCTGTTTAACTTTTTGTAAACTTCAAACAAAAAGGCGTTTAAGTGAAAAGCTTTTAAAAAGCACAACGTTATAACGTCTAAAAAATAAGCAGTTTTTCCCATCTCTACACATGACTGCCCGAGACACACACATACACACACATAGTTTGCTTTGCCTATATTTTTAAAAAATATACTAAACCAACAATTATTTTTAATCTAGTTACATGGACGTAGCAACACGGTAGAGTGTAGCTTAATATAATCCGTGGAGATTAAAGAACGATAGTGATAATATCAGTGGCCGTAGCATGCATGATAAACCTTTGATAAACCTCCCCGTGACATATTTATTTCAGTTAATAAGGCTATGTTGCCGTTGTTATTTTTTTTATTGCTAATACCTAATCGATAAGACACCGCACTAGCGTCATTCGTTCTTTTGTTTGTTTGGTAATGAACTATTATTATAATTTGAAGAACTAATATACGAAATTGGGTATAAAGCTATCTTTGTCATTTAATCATCGCAGCGAAAACGATGAAACAAAATGTTTGCATGTATTGAATAGGCACAAAATAGGGTTGAAACCTCTGTCCACGACTTGGTACTAAATTTTTTGGTCTCAAAATGAAGAAGACAAATAAGACAAATATAAATTGAATTCCAGATAATTCAAGAAAATTCAGTAAAGTTATAGATTTCAGACAGAAAAATAGAAGGTCCTCAAGATCAAATCACAGGAGTGCCCGGTGGCCTGGTGTTGTAATCGCCTGACATTATGCGAGGTCAATATAAAGCCATCGGTCAAGTCCTTACTCAAATCGATCATCAAATAATGTTTCACTAAACTCTGAAGATTAGGTACATGCATGAGTTCAATGATATTTTTCATTTCTCTTTTTAACCGACTTCAAAAAAGGAGGAGGTTCTCACTTCGACTGTATGTTCTTTTTTTTCTTATCTTTTTTTTTGTATGTATGTTACGCGATAACTCCGGTATTTGTGAACCAATTTTCATGATTCTTTTTTTGTTGGAAAGGGGGTACTTCCATAGTGGTCCCATTTCATTTTGAAGAAAACCATCCACCTTGAAGGGTGGCTATTCACGCATGAATATTCATTTTTATAAATAGCGCCTAACTTTAATTTAGGAGCAATTACTTTTAGCAATCATTTAGTCGATTTTGCTATTTCTCCTATTCAAGGCGTCTTTCTCTCGATATACTTTGAGTAGCGTCGTAGTGAGAACCTATTTTTATTATCTCCAGTAGGTATCAAGTCCTGTATAGTGGCGAACTAGGGGATATTTCAATGAAACTTATTATTATACCTAGCATATAGACGTAATTCCACGTACTTTTGAGGTCGGTTTTTTTAGTACTCTGTACTGAGATTATGTATACTATGTATATGATCTTGGACGATCTACTATTTTAATGTTTCTGCAATGATAATTTCAGTCTGTACAACCTCAAATGGCTTTGGCTGATATTGCATAACCGTGAAAGCGTTGAATCAATCGCTTTGTAAAAAATATATAATAAAATTGAAGATACTGATTACTATATGGTGAAAAAGCACGATTTCTAAAAATTTTCACTATAGAAAATAAACACAAAGTTGCATCGAAATTTTACAAGAAAACTTTATATATATATATCAATGATTTTTTTAATATCAACTGAACTAAATACTTATACGATAAACATTTTTCAAATAGCTTATATTTTTCGTTTGTAAAAAAATAAATTCCGAAATAAAGCCAATGTCCCCGCCACTCGATTCAAGCAAAACGTAGTAGTATCGACTCCTAAGGATGTAACCACACTTATCGATGCGGAATCGCAATAGGCGGGACAGAGAAAGCTGTAATTTCGGTACGTATATCGCGACTAAATAGATGCCGGTTACGAAAGGACTTCTTGCCGAATTCTCGATCGCGTCATTGGACTCTGCCGAATGCACCCGAGGACGTCCGAATAGCTCCGATCCTGTTCTTACGAAGATGTATTCCCTTTTACACCCATCGCCGATCGGTGGTTGTGATGGCATAATTGTGGCATCGGCGGCCGAATCTATGACCGTGACGGCTTATACGGCTGGCCGATCGGCTCAACGCGGCAAGTGTGGTGATACGTGATCACACAAGCCGAAATCACGTCGACAAATGTGGTGAATTCCTACAATTACTCAATATTAACGAATATATAACGAAGCATTAAGAAAGTTTAGTTATCTATCGTCAAATTTCAAACAATTTTGTAAAAAAAATGCTTTTTTTTTAAATAACCCATATTACATTTTCTATACCTTAATTTAGTCGGTTTTCTGTACCTATACATACGTATATCTAGTGTTGTAAGATTATAGCTAATTTATTCCCGTTTTACATAAGTAGGTCACTTTTATGAGCCTGTTATTAAATTCGTCCAACAAAATACCAATTCCTCGACTCAGCATTTTCTGTGGTGAGTTTAGGCTTTTGTTTAAGGTCCTTATTATATGTTTACTCAGTGAATTCTAAATAAGATGCCCTTTGGCAGTAGGTACATGTTTTGCGTCCAAATTTACTGACTTCTTATTTATGAGTAACAGACACTGATGTATTTACTTTTTTGAACCGATTTCAATAATTCTTTATGTGCGGGAAATGGGGCATCTTTTCTTTATTAAAAACTAAGTCCGCATTTGAACTCCATCTCACCTGATGGAAAGTGACGATGAAGTCGACGACCCTCGCCTTGAAAAGGTCCAAGTTGTAACGTTCAGGGAATAAGTCTGCACGCAGTGAATTCCACACAATAGCCATTCGCCATATAAATGTAGAAGCGAAGCGCTTCGTGCGAATTCTTGGAATATCCACAACATAGGGGTGGACCCCTAGCCTACGCCTGGTCCCCCGATGATGGAAAGGGGAAGGCGGAATTAATTCGCGCAATTCCCTCGCGCACTCTCCGTCATATATCCTGTAGAATACCGATAAACAGGCAACTTTACAGCGGTGTTCAAAGCTAATTCTGTGTCACCTATAACCCTCTTGACACGCTTGTCAATTGAATACAGGGTGGCCAGTTGGTATGTAGCAAAGCCATCCCATATGTGGCATCAGTAGTCCATACTCGACCAGACTTGTGCTTAGGTACAGTTGAAGCTAATGGCCCGGTGTGTATCTCAAATACAGACGAATTGAGAACCTCCTATTTTTTTAAGTCGATTGGTTCCTGCGCTTCG